TATTCCAAATTTGGTTCATACATTATTGTATTTAATTTAATTTTTTAAAAATATTTTAAACTATTAAAATATTATTAAAAATATATTTTATAAATATTTTAATAACATATACAATTTAAATGGACGAGTAAATCCAAAACTCAAGTTTTGTTGATGTCAATTAATCCAACCCAATCCAGGGAGACCATCTTACAACAATAATATTTGAAAAACTTTGATGTTATATTCAGATCCTAACTATGTTGTTCCCATAATGCTTAACTATATATGGTCAATATATTGATTAATAGGTAGAACAACTGACATGAAAGAACTGTCATGCAGAAGTAGGTAACAATAAAACATTTATATATATATATATATATATGTGTGTGTGTGTGTGTGTTTGACTTTGATTTATGTAATGAAAAGCACGTTTCCTTGTTGAATAAATTTCACTTGGTCTGTTTTTAAAATATAATGAGACTTTCAAAATGGTTTCAATATAAAGACACTTGTTATTCAACAAGAATGGTTGAATTTACTTATAGGTAAAGTTTTAATCAGTTGATAACACTGCTTGCTAGCTAATAATTTCCCTCATCAATAATGTTATGTAGGATCACATCTTGACCCCATTTTTAGGTTTTTTTTTTTCTCTTTCCTTGGTTAATTGGTTCAATAATGGCCACTAAAAATTGCTACAATGCCCAGTATTTAATATATTTATCAACCCTGAAATGTTGCTGCAACTTCTTTTAACAAACACATAATAATTCAGACTAATAGCTAAACTACAAACACACATAAAAAAAAGTGGCAGTACTGAGACATGGGGTTGAGAGCTTACCTCAATTTGTTGACATTTTTTATCAGAATAGTGTAACCTCGGATTTGCTGCTAACTAAGTGTACTGGTTACCTAACAGAAGAAAAAAAGATGCATTAATGTCTTATCATTCCTGATTTACTGGCCCTTAAAATAAAGATTTTCCAAAGGTCCATAGCTTTGACTTTGGGCACCCTTGCATCCCATGCACATGGCCTTTTTAGCTTTAACAAGGGGGGCTGAGAATTAATTAGGTTTTAATTTCTTTAATTAACATTGATCTCTTCATCTTTTTCTACATTTTTACTCTTTGGTTTAATCAAAATTTCTCTTTCTTTCAACATATATGATCAAACATGACATCTCTAGTGATTCATGGTGATGTAATGGGCTAGCTTTCCTGTACACTCTAACTAAAGCAATAATGGTTTAGGGTCTTCTTTTTTTTTTTTTCTTAACAAGTGAACCGCACAAAAAAAAAAGTTTAATTTGAGTTTAATTAGACAAGGCAGCAGGTAGCAAGTTTACTTCAATAAGGTCTAATCAACACTGCGGTGTTGCTGCCTCATTATGGCGATGTAGCCAGCTTTAGTCTTTTCTATCGTGGAGGTCCCCTTGCTTATATATCTGTGTATATGCCTACGCCTATGCAAATAATTATCCTCCATATTATGCTATTCTTCCAAGACATTTTGCTAAGACAATCACATAGAGGAAATAAGTAAAAATAAAAAAAATCTACCCGTTTATTTCTCTTTCATTTTGTAGTGCATATGCATGTCTCTCCAGGAAGGTGAATGACAACTTTTATCATTAACAAAAACAAAAATGTAAATAATAACATTTATATTTTTATTATGTTTAATTAAATTTTATATTTTTATTTTGAGTTAAATAAATCTTTGTAATTAATAGTTGATTAATTATTATTATTCAAAACATCACTTATCATTTTTTATACATGTGACGTTTATATGGCGTTGATGTGAGGGTGAAAAATATTATGTAATCATACAATCATTGACTATAATAAATCAATATGTCACATCTCAAGATCACGTGACATTAAATAATAAATAAAGTTTTGACTAATAATAATTAATCAACTCTTAAACATAAGAACTTATTTGATTTAAAATAAAAATATAAAATTTTAATTAAACGTAATAAAAAATATATATTCAAATTTTTTTAAATAGCTTAACAATTTTTTAGTTATTAGATTTTAACTTCCTTAATTTAATCATGCTCTCTTATTTTTAACAAAAAGATAAATGAATAATTATATGAATGGAGAGTGAATTTCTTATTATTGTTTAGTCATTCAACTTCCACCATTACAGTGCCAAAGGAAGAACTTGCATCGAAAGGACTAATAAAAGAGGCATGGACAATGTAGCTGACAGGATTCATTCACATGACTTGAACCAAAAACGAAGTTAGTTTGAGTCTTATCAAATAATCGACTTAAGGCAAAAAGAATATAAAAGACATTGCGTTAGATTTTAATTTATTTAATAATTCATACATAAATCGATGCTATTTATTCAATTAATGATTGGTGTTAACATATATATATATATATACATGTATATTGTTTAAAATTTGACTTATTTAACCATAGAAGATCATTTTCATTTAAGTAATCCCAATCTTTTGGCATGGAAATGGATTGGTTAACTCCATCATTAATCATCCTAATTGCCAAGAGTTAAGTAAAGAAGAAGGAGTGTTAATTAGCTAGCAAGTTGCTAAGTATTGTATATGACACAATAGAACCAATGTATTTATCAAATAACTTTTGCGTATACATGGATGCTGTCATGATTTTCCTTTCTTCCTCTTTCTCATCTACCAAACATGATCTAAAAGAAGGCAAAAACACAAACAAATATATTGCAAAACCTAACCCTAGCGGTGTACGTACAATAGAGTATAAATCTCTGATCTGTTACCGAGGCAGTAAGGGCCCATGCATCACCCATAATGGGGGACATACAATGCCTTGGCTTGCCCTTTCTTTACACGAGAGAAGCGGCACTCTCTGAATTCACAGGCAAGAAAAGAAAGGGACTACCGAATACGATGCTTTGCTTTCCGTGTGGCCCTTTTTCCCTGTGTGTTTTTGTTTCCAAATTTTACAGATTATGTTTTTGGAGGGCCACACTCCTGTGAAGGCGTTTGCCACCACTCTCTTATTATACTACCATTACCATTACCACCACCATCACCATCACCATCGCCATCATTCATCGCCACCTTTTCCTTTTGGGTAGTCTCCCTTTCCCTTTTTTGCTCCTCCTTTTGGTTGCAGTTATTTTAAGGACCACTTTCATCATCTTCATCAAAATTTGGGTGTTTTGCTTTTCATAGATTTATATTTGATAAGATACAACGTAATTATTAACTCATCTCCAACCTTCAACAAGAATCTCCACAATGTTTTCTCAATCCCTTTTTTAGGTTCATAATTAGAGATGATCTCACCTATATATCAATATATATTGTGTCTCTTTTTTTTCCTTTTTTATTGGGGGGGTTTGAATTCATCTACCTCACAATATTTTGCTCAAAAACTCTAATCATCTTTGAATGGCATCATATCAAAAGTTAATTATCCCATGGGATAATAAGTACTCTTACTCCACGTGGGTATAATTATACACCTTATTCGTAAATGAATTTAAAAAAATATGTATTTTTTTAAATAACGAATTTCATTAATTAAAATGAGGGTGAATCGATGTACTAATAAGTCTCTAGCCATATGACTGGCGGAAGATTTCATCGTGCATACCTTTCCTCATTCATAAACAAAAATCATTACTTAAAGAATCCATTTGCATTTATGAAAAGATACGCATAGAGTAAATTAATTAGAGTCAAAAAATTAATCAAAAAAAGACATTTTATGTTTATTATAGACAAGTGAGTCTATTGTAAATAAAACAAATTAAATGATGAATAAGAAGGGCATCAGTTTTGAGTTGGACTTTTAGATTTAGTAATTTCTTGGAAGCACCAAAAACATGGAATAGTTAATGTGTACATAAGAGTGTAAACACGCGCTGAAAAGAAGAGGCAAAACCCACTTTTTTACAGAAAAAAGCAAGCAAGGAACGAGATGAGAAGTATGTTTTCCTTACTAAGGGTTGGGCAAGTCAAAGAAAGATTTCTTGGTGAGCCGGCCAAAGCAAGAAAAGCCACCACCCCCCTCTCCTTCCACCACCTCCATTTGTTGCCACTGCCTTTTATCTTTCGCAAGATTCTTTAATTTATTAGATTTGGAATATGGCCCAAATTAATGATTCAATGCGGCATTAGTGTTTGACATTAAGACCATAACACCCTTCTTCAATTTAACTTATGCTTTCAATCCCATTAATTTAACTTGATGTTGTTGTTTTAAAATTTGGTGAACAGAGGATTCAAGTTTGGTTCTTTGAAATATACTTGTTAATATATTAGCTTTCTCAGAACCCAAAGTGTAAATGTTTTTTCAATTGATTAATTAACAATGATTATATAAATGTCGATTTGAATCTATTGTCATAAACAATTTAGTTGCAAACTCAATACGGTATTAAAAAATATCAAAGCGAAAATGTTAATTTCTGAAACATGCATGAAAATCCCTAGATTTGTATTTTTCTCTAGCAAATGCAAACATACTGCTTAGACAGTTTCAATTTAATTTGGCTCAAATTTTA